GTCATTATATAAAAATAAAAAATACATATCAAATAGTAAAGTTACTAAATACTAAAAAAGCAATGGTAAAAAAGGCGAAGGAAAGTGAAGGCAAAGGGATAGAATGGAAGAAAATGAAAATAATATTAACAATAATAAAAATATGGAAGAGGAGGAAGATGAAAGAGAAAATGAGGAAACGAGTTTCTGAATCGTGGAAATCCTGATAAAAAGGGGAATAGGCTACACAGGCTAGTCGCGACAGACCCATACAAATCAAAATAAAAAGTAAAATAGGAAAAAAATCAAACCAACAATTAAACAAGAAAAAATAAAAACAAATTAAACAAGAAAAAAATAAAATAAAGTAAGACAAGAAAATCAAAACAAAAAAATCAAAACGAGAAACGATAAAAAGTAAAACGGAAAATAATGCACAAAAATAAAGAAAAAATAATAATATACACGAAACACGACAGGGAAGCAACACGACGGAAACCAGAAGAGACAGTCACTCCCAGCCATTCGAACAGTCATTGGCCTGGCCTACGAGTACCTGAATGACGCAGCCGAGTGACTGACTGCTAGACTGACAGGAACAAAAACATGAAAAATAAATAAACAAATAAAAAAGAAATGATAGACTGAGTACCTTCGTTTACGATTGAAAGAACTGACTAACTGTATCGCCGCGTGCCTGACTGTCCATCTGACTGACGGACTGAATACCAGGTCTGCCTCACCTGCACTGTCGCCTCAGCCAGCCTGCTTTCAAGTCAATACCGCATCGACATCGCCGTAACCGAAAATAGACGAAAGCCATATTACTTGGCGTGTTTGGCAAATTGCAGCTTATTTTTAAACAAGAGTAATTAGTTAATTATTGTGAGCTGAGTTTACGTGGCTGTAATCCTTGTGAATAGAAAAGAATAAAAAAGTCAACTCTCCGTAATTTATTGCAAAGGTAACGTTATTTGCAACGAGCGCAATGATTGGGCTCAGACTCTTGCAACATTTAATCAGAGATGAACAAAACGCCGCCCCTTCGCAAGGGTAATCCATACAACAAAACACAAACGAGGCAGAAAAAAAGAAAAAAAAAAAAAAACAATGACAATGCACCTTCTCAAAATAAAGAAATAACATCAACAGACACACATTAAGAGAGCAATAACTGCAATAACCCCATTCGACACCACCGCGACCGCCTCCCCTCCCATACCCACCGCCGAAACCACCCGACCAATCCGAACCGACAAACCCAACAAGCGACATAAACCGAACAAAACGGCGTTCTTGTTGCCCTTTGTCCGATCGAGAGGATCCCCCATATCAACGCCATAAACTCCCATCATCAGCGGCCATTGAGAGGGCACGGCGCCAATCACAATCGCGGCGCAATACCCAATCACTATCATTAACAATCACTCTGACAATCACCGTCACTGCGACATTCCTCGGCCCCGTGTCTCGTTCATCTGATAAAGACTATCAAGGCGGCGTCACTATCACAAAGCCTTTATCGATGATATCACCTCTGTGTGTGTGTGTGTGTGTGTGTGTGTGTGTGTGTGTGTGTGTGTGTGTGTGTGGTGTGTGTGTGTGTGTGTGTGTGTGAATAATTTTCTGGCTTAATTCTCGTGTCTTCCGCCTTCCTTCCCTCCGTTACTCCTTCCTTCCCTTTGTCACACTTATCCGATGTCGTCACGCTTCCTTTCACTTTCAGCGCGCCGCTTCTTCTTCTCCTCCTCCTCCTCTTATTATTATTCCTACTCCTCTTCCTCTTTTCTCTCTTCTGATTCCCTCGCTTGACCCGCATACACAGAACGAAGGCCAGAGAAGGAAAGGTGGAGGTGAAAGGAGAGGATGAAGCTGGAATGGATAAAGGGAGGACTGAAGAAAGAGAGAAAGGAGCGAGATAAAATTGGAAGGACGGGAAGGAGATAGGAAAGGGCGAAGGAAGGAAGGAAGTAAGGTGTGACACAAAAAGGGTTTGGGTAGGGAGAAGGACAGGTAGAGGGAAGGGGAGCGGGCGGGAAAGGGAGAGGGGAGAGGGGAGAGGGGAGAGGAGAGAGAGAGAGAGAGAGAGAGAGAGAGAGAGAGAGAGAGAGAGAGAGAGAGAGAGAGAGAGGAGAGAGAGAGAGAGAGAGAGAGAGAGAGAGAGAGAGAGAGAGAGAAGAGAGAGAGAGAGAGAGAGAGAGAGAGAGAGAGAGAGAGAGCGAGGGAGAGAGACACCTACCACCTTTCCTCTCCCTTTCAACTTAAGTGGAAAGCTTAGAGAAACGTTATCTCTGCCTTCTATCGTTATCAATATCGTAATTCTCCCAATCCTCAAAGTTCCTCTATTCACGTCGTCCTTCCCCTCCTCCCCTCCCCTCCCTCCCCAACCTCCTCCTTCTCTGTATCTTATCACGCGTGCGCATTAAGTCCTCCTCCTCCTCTTCCTCCTCTATCCACGTTTGTCTTGATGACACATTCCTTTCTCTTTCCATTTCTCGTTTTCTCTTTTCTATATATCATTATCGTTTTCGTTCCAGGGAAGAGAGGAAAGAAGAGCAGAAGAGAGGATGGAAGGAGGGAGGAGAGGCGGAGAGAAAGAGTGAGAGGGAGAGAAAGAGGGAGGGAGGGAGGGAGGGAGGGAGGGAGGGAGAGGGAGGGAGGGGAGGGAGGAGGGAGGGAGGAGGAGGAGGGAGAGGGAGAGAGGGAGAGAGAGAGAGAGAGAGAGAGAGAGAGAGAGAGAAGAGAGAGAGAGAGAGAGAGAGAGAGATAATCTCCTGCCGAGGTCCCCCTGTTCCCACGCCCTTTCTCAAAACCTCCTTCATTACCCTCTCGCTTCTTTATGAACACCTCTCCTCCCTCCTCCGCCTCAGCCCGCTCTTGGAATTAAAATCTCTCCCCCCCTTCTCCCTCATCAACCCCTCCCTTACCCTCCACCTGAAACGCTTACCTTTGCCCCACAATCCCCTCCCTCCCCTTCCTCCTTCCTCCCACCCACTTCCCCCTCTCGCCCACCCTTCCACCCACCTTCCCTCTTAGCCCTTCCCCTTCCCCCTTCGCCCTTCTACCCCCGCCCCCTCCCCTCCCCGCCGCGGCCCGGCCACCAGCAGGGCAGGCGAGAGGTGTGACAGACAAGGGCCCCGTTTGATCTTGCCGACACCCCGACGCCGCCGCCGCCGCCTCCGTCATCGCTGCTGTGCTTATGCGTTCTCCACCTTCGTCCCTCCTTTGTTTACTCTACCTTGTCCCCTTTCCCCCCCTTTCCCTCACTTCCTTTTCAATCCTTCTTCCTCCCTCGGCAACTAGAAGGCCTTCTTGAAATCCTGTCTCGCAGAACCTTCCTTATTTCTCTTCGTTATCGCTCCCCCTCTCCCCATTTCGTTGTATTTCTTTCTTCTCTGTCATCTCTCCTTCCATTGTCATCCGAAGGGACCAAAACGCATACGCATACACACACGCATACACACGCATACACACACACACACACACACACACACACACACACACACACACACACACACTCTTAGTAGAATCAAAATACATAAAAGTTTATCTTATCAGCCCCAGAGATCAAGGTGTACCGCGCATGCGCACTTGCCCGGATCAGCTGTGGCGGTGCAGGCTTCACTCGCCTAATCCTCCTACGACCCCCATCCCCTTTCCCCTTCCCCTCACCCCCTACTCCTTCCCCTTCCCCCCTACTTCCTTCCCCTTCCTCCCAACCCCCTACTCCTTCCCTCCCCCTCGCCTGCAACACCCACCCCTTACCCCCACCTCCCAACCCCAGCCGACAACCGGCACCGAAGAACAAGGTACATTGGAATACTTTCTAGTTATTATTTTTCCCAGTTCGCTTTAAACTTAATCCTTTAATGATTTTTAAAAGGTATCTTGGAAAACACTGGAATAAACTGGAGAGAGAAATAGAAAGTGAGAGTGTGAGCGAGAGAGAGAGAATGGGGAGAGAGGGAGAGGGAGACCGAGAAAGAGACAACGGGAACAAGAGAGACCGAGAAAGAGACAAAGGGAACGAGAGACCGAGACCGAGAGACAACGGGAACGAGAGAGAACGAGAGATCGAGAGCAAGAGAACGGTAACGAGACCGAGAAGAGACAACGAACGAGAGATCGAGAGCGGAAGAAGGGAACGAGAGATCGAGACCGAGAAAGAGACAACGGGAACGAGAGACCGAGAGCGAGAGACAACGGGAACGAGAGAGAACGAGAGATCGAGAGCAAGAGAGAACGGTAACGAGACCGAGAAAGAGACAACGGGAACGAGAGATCGAGAGCGTGAGAGAACGGGAACGAGAGATCGAGACCGAGAAAGAGACAACGGGAACGAGAGACCGAGAGCGAGAGACAACGGGAACGAGAGAGAACGAGAGATCGAGAGCAAGAGAGAACGGTAACGAGACCGAGAAAGAGACAACGGGAACGAGAGATCGAGAGCGTGAGAGAACGGGAACGAGAGATCGAGACCGAGAAAGAGACAACGGGAACGAGAGACCGAGACGAGAGACAACGGGAACGAGAGAGAACGAGAGATCGAGAGCAAGAGAGAACGGTAACGAGACGAGAAACCGAGAAAGAGACAAGAAACGGGAACGAGAGATCGAGACCGAGAGAGAACAACGGGAACGAGAGACGAGAGCGAGAGACAACGGGAACGAGAGAGAACGAGAGATCGAGAGCAAGAGAGAACGGTAACGAGACCGAGAAAGAGACAACGGAACGAGAGATCGAGAGCGTGAGAGAACGGGAACGAGAGATCGAGACCGAGAAAGAGACAACGGGAAACGAGAGACCGGAGCGAGAGACAACGGGAACGAGAGAGAACGAGAGATCGAGAGGCAAGAGAGAACGGTAAACGAGACGGAGAAAGAGACAACGGGAACGAGAGATCGAGAGCGTGAGAGAACGGGAACGAGAGATCGAGACCGAGAAAGAGACAACGGGACGAGAGACCGAGAGCGAGACGAGAGAGAGAACGAGAGATCGAGAGCAAGAGAGAAAACGAGACGAGAGAGACAACGGGAACGAGAGATCGAGAGCGTGAGAGAACGGAACGAGAGATCGAGACCCGAGAGAGACAACGCCGAGTCCGAGAGAACGGTAACGAGACCGAGAAAGAGACAACGGGAAGAGAGATCGAGAGCGTGAGAGAACGGGAACGAGATCGAGACCGAGAAAGAGACAACGGGAACGAGAGAGATCGAGAGCAAGCGAGACCGAGATCGAGAGCGTGAGAGAACGGGAACGAGAGATCGAGACCGAGAAAGAGACAACGGGAACGAGAGACCGAGAGCGAGAGACAACGGGAACGAGAGAGAACGAGAGATCGAGAGCAAGAGAGAACGGTAACGAGACCGAGAAAGAGACAACGGGAACGAGAGATCGAGAGCGTGAGAGAACGGGAACGAGAGATCGAGACCGAGAAAGAGACAACGGGAACGAGAGACCGAGAGCGAGAGACAACGGGAACGAGAGAGAACGAGAGATCGAGAGCAAGAGAGAACGGTAACGAGACCGAGAAAGAGACAACGGGAACGAGATCGAGAGCGTGAGAGAACGGAACGAGAGATCGAGACTCCGGCTCCCTAATGAAAACTAGTGCTTGCAGCGCGAATAAAAAGGGCTCGTTAAAATTTTAGAGTTCCTTTTCATGCATCCTTAAAAGCAGCCACGCCGCGCCCGGGCTGTCACTGCGAAGTACTGTCATCCGTCTTGGCGCGGTGCTCTGCCAGGTAATTAATGGTAGAAGACGCCCGAGGCAAGACGCCCATTCTCGTCTTTGTTCCGTGTGACACATACATGACAGCGGAACTTTTACAATTGGCATTAATCGTTACTGTGATACAACGGCACGTGGAAAACTTACAGATGCGAAAAAATGTGTCCCTTTGCCCTTTCCTCATCGAGAATACATACTATTCGTTGTAGACTTTACTCACCCACTTATTCTCTAAAACAAACAAAAAATAACCATCAAACACGCATACACACATAGACATTCACACACACACACACAAGCACACACACACACACACACACACACACACACACACACACACACACACACACACACACACACACACACACACACACACACACACACACGCACACACACACACACACACGCAACCTTTCGTCCGGACCGTGCCAACCCTCCCAAGAAGGCAGGTAGGCTGTGTGTCAGCATTAATAAGGAGAACAGTTGCACAAGAGATCAAGCGAGGGCGCAAGGGGCACGGCGACCACTAGCTTACCCCCCTCCCTCCCTCCCTTCCTCCCTGCCCTTCCCCACTCCGTCATAAATACCTCCTCCTCCTCCTTCTCCTTCCCCCACCTCCTCCTCCTTCCCCCTCCCCCTTCACCTGGGACTAGTCCTGCTACACCACACACTAATGATCATCTTGTTCCTGCAAACTTTTGTCTGAATATAATTACAGCAACACATGCACGGCCGCCTGACCTGCATGCGTGTCCGTATGCGTGTCCGTATGTGCGTACATGCTAGATGGAGCTAACATGCAGCTCTACGCAAGTGGGCTCCGGTACCTTATATGTTGGAACATAAATCTGCCGCTGCATCTATTGTGTATTCCTAAAGCAAATGGGTACACAAAAATATATACTGTTTATGAGAAAGAGAAACAGAGAAGAGGAAAAGAGAAAATGAGAGAGAGAGAGAGAGAGAGAGAGAGAGAGAGAGAGAGAGAGAGAGAGAGAGAGAGAGAGAGAGAGAGAGAGAGAGAGAGAGAGAGAGAGAGAGAGGGAGAGAGAGAGAGAGGGGAGGGGGAAGGGTGCAAACAAACACTCCAAGTCGGACGCCCCAGCATCAGCACGTGGCCGGGTGGGGGTGGGAGGGGCGGGGGGACAAACAAGGTCACGCCCCGTGCAGAGGCCGGGTCACTGCACGCCGAGTTTTTGCCACGCGCAAGTTCATACGTCAGCGGGCAGGGCGAGTGTGCAATGTTGCAAAACCACGTAATCACCCTGCAATTGTGTCCAGTCTCGGGAGAGAGGAAAATCGCGAGGACAAACATAACGAGAAACGATAATGAAAGTAAAGACTGTAATGACAGCAACGCTGAGGCAATAAATGTAGCCCGAGGCATAGCCAAGCAGTTGGTTTGAGGAGGAGGAGGAGAAGGAGGAGGAGGAGGAGGAGGAGGAGGAGGAGGAGGAGGCGGTGGAGAAGAATGAGGGAAAAAAGGAAGAGTAGGTGTAGGAGGAGGCGGTAGACAAAAATAAGGAGGGAGGAGAGTAGAGTTGGAGAAGATGGAAGTGGGGAGAGTGGAGGAGGATGGGTTAAAAGGAGGGGATACGAAAGAGAGCAACAGCAGAAGAGGAAGGGGAAGATGAAGAAAAAGCAACAGCAACAAGAGGGTAAAGAGGGAAAAAAAGAAAAACAAAGGGGAAAACGAAAGGCAACAAATCCGAGGAGCTGAGAGAAGATAATAACGATGATTAGCGAGATCATAATCAATAACACAGCAGCTTCTAAACTTCAGGCAGGAGTTAGTTTCACCAAACTTATCCGACCAACTTCAGGCGTCATCTTATGCTTACACTAAATTACAAAGACACATTGTTCCCAAATCCTGAAGATTCTATTTCTATCAAACGCGATACACTAGAGGGTAAATACGTGCACGCATGCCTGTGCGCGTACACACACGCACGCACGCACACACAACGCACACACACACACACACACAAACTCTCTCTCTCTCTCTCTCTCTCTCTCTCTCTCTCTCTCTCTCTCTCTCTCCTCTCTCTCTCTCTCTCTCTCTCTCTCTCGTGCTACTCTCCATCATTTACAGACACAGACAGACACACACAAAGTTCTCAGATTCCGACACTAACTAAAGCTCAGCCGTAAGTTAAGGGTCTCCACGAACCATGAAGGGAAGTTGCCAGCACAGCTAAACACCACCACCTACCTACCCCCTTTACCCCCCCCTCCTTCCCTCCCACTTCCCTTTACTCTTCCCCTTCCAAACTTACTTTCTTGCCCTCCTCTCCTTCGCCCCTCTCCCTCATATCTATTCCCCTCACCCCCTTACCCTACTCCTCCTCTCCCCATCCTCCCCTATTTCCTCGCTCTCCCCTCCCATCTCCCTAACCTCCCCCCCCCCACACACACACCACAGTATCTCCCTAAACAAGAGTCGTTTCTCTAGGCCTACGCACGTTTCGGACCAGCCAGCCAATCCTGTTCCGGAGATCGCCACACCGCAATCGCTAACGAAAAGGAACTCGCATCATCGCCGTCGTTATCCGATTAGCGTTATCAGCGACCTTAATCGTAAGTCAAGCATCGCGTTAGCTATGTCATTCTTATCGTTATCATCGCCGCGGCTTAAAACATATGCGTGAGAGGGGGGACGTGTATGTGTGTGGAGAGGGGAGAGGGGAGAGGGGGGAGGGAGGCTTACGAGGCCAGAGGAATTTTTGAGCAGAGGCTCAACGAGGAGGCATGAAATACAGATATAAAATTTCAATTACTCAAACTCTCTCTCTCTCTCTCTCTCTCTCTCTCTCTCTCTCTCTCTCTCTCTCTCTCTCTCTCTCTCTCTCTTCTCTCTCTCTCTCTCTCTCTCTCTCTCTCTCTCTCTCTCTCTCTTCGGGTGGCTGACCGAACGCTTTTGGAGTGAAATCGCATGATCAATTAGGCTACTGTCGCAGCCCGGAATAGTTAGTCAACAAAGCTGGTTTTAAGCTCTGAGCCATTGCCAGAATAGGTGGGGGGAAGGGAGGTGGTAGGACGCGAAGGAGGAAAAGAGAGAGGAGAAAAGGGGGGGGGTGAAGGAGGGAGAGAGAGAGAGAGAAAGAGAGAGAAAGAGAGAGAGAAGAGAGAGAGAGAGAGAGAGAGAGAGAGAGAGAGAGAGAGAGAGAGAGAGAGAGAGAGAGAGAGAGAGAGAGAGAGAGAGAGAGAGAGAGAGGAGAGAGAGAGACGGATGGGAGAGGAGCGAAGAAATCCGAAGCGAATAGAAGAGACAAAAAAAACCGAAGCGGAGACGAGAGCGAAGAAAGCCGAGGCGGAGAGCAGAGAGAAGCGCTCCGCACGCAGCTCCACCTTCCCGCGGAGCGCCCTTCCTCGGGCGCATCCCCTGCTCCTCCGGCGAAAGCGCACCCGCCGCCGGACCCGCCGTCGGGCCCGCCCCCCTCGCGCCGTCCAGCGTCGGGGCGGCGGCGCAACAAAAGGCCCAGACAGGAACGGCCGCCGTACCTTGACGACCCGGCAATGCGAAGGCTCCAAAGCTGCACAATGTACCTGTACAAAGTACTTGTAGCCGCTACACACAAGCCCAACGTACCCAGTGGACCCAAGCGTCGAAGGGGAGGCGAAAGAGGGGGAGGAGGGGGGAGGGATGAGGGTGGGAGTTGGAGTTGAGTAGAGGAGGTAGAGTCCTTCCCCTTCCCCTTCCCCTCCCCTTTCATCGCACGAGTCCACGTTTTTATCCCAACACATTACGTCTCTTTATGGTGCGCTGTCGTTTTTCCCCCTCACTCGCTCTCACCCTCTCCTCACATTATATATTTTTTCTCTCTCTCCTCCTTTACAAAACTCATTTCGCCTTCTTGCTATACATTCTCTCGCCTCACCCTCTTCGGTCTCCGACTCCCCCCCCCCCACAACACCCTCCCTATCATCACTAACTCCCCCCTCCTCCCTTTCCCCTCCTACAAGACAAAGAAGGAGGAGAAAGGGAGAAGCTAAGCCACGTGTCAAGCCCTTTTCCGACCACCCCACACGAAAGGATGATAGGCTGGCTTGGCGAACCCGCTTGGCTGACCCGCACAAGCCGTAATGCCCCGGGCTGCCCTCTCGCCACGCTCCCCCAAGACAGGAAAGCGCATTCGGCGGTCGGGAATCCGGTCATCGGTCAACGGTATCATCTGTATTCTTCGTCAGAGAGAGAGAGAGAGAGAGAGAGAGAGAGAGAGAGAGAGAGAGAGAGAGAGAGAGAGAGAGAGAGAGAGAGAGAGAGAGAGAGAGAGAGAGAGAGAGAGA